AGTTCTATGGCTGACTTCTTGTCAGTCTGGAAAACTGCAAAATGTGTTGTAAAATATCTAGCGCAATTTGCGAAAATCATCGGTAACTACATTGTCGCATAGGATGACTGGTAAAGTACACTAATACAATGCCCATGTTAGATGGAAGTCAGTCTAAGCTTAGTCGTTAGTACACAAGATTAGAAAGGATCATTTAGCAACCGTAGAACGTGAAAATACGTCTCCAGACTAGCCCGAGCTTCAGGCTGTACATTACAGATTCCTAGCGTGAAACACCAACTGCTCTTTTTAAATCGCGCGGTGTCCTTCCTCTCCCCCGTTTTTTCGGCTGTTTTCACCAAAATTTTTCTGATTTCATAATATTACACCGAATTTCCACAGTTTGTCCACACTCATGACAGTAATACGACGTTTTGTAAGTCTGACCTAACAACCTAAGCGATACTGACAATAAATACATGGAGAACATAATCAAGGCCTAACAATAATAAGTGCAAATGACGAAAGCGGAGCGATTAGCAAGGAACCCCAGGCATCCTGATGAGTCTATCAGAACCGAGAATAAACCGCTTGCTCAAACCTGAAAAAGGAATGTCACCTGGAGGACTACATTGGACTATCAGCAAATATATCATATCAGTCAAAGTCGCGCAACGCAGGCAGCAGTTGAAATGCACCCCCGCGAAATATCATACTAATGTTGAGCTATAACTCACACACCTATCCTGTCTCGCCAAAGGATCCAGAAGTCGGATAAAGGAACAACGATCATCATGGTGGAGGCTATCGTCAGTGTTACATGCTTCTGCGAATATTCCTATTAATAAAAAGCAGTTGAAGTGGGCTGCCTTATGTTGCGTTGGACCAACTCCGAGGGATAATTATAAGGGGTTAAAACTTTAAAACTGCGTGAGGAATTTCTTCCTTAAACACACTTTGTACCGCTTTCGGACGGCTTTTCAAGTTTTCACGAAAAGTGTTACACATCTATAGTTTATCAGTTGTTGACTGTCGCCCGACGGTTTGAATTCACCCTTATCTGTTTTTGTCTCTGATGATGGATTCGAGCAGGAATCCGAAACATCAGGCTAATAAAGCTCTTGTCCCGGCGATCCTGTCTTCTTCTTCTTCTTCTTCTTCAAGGTTTGAATTCAGCCATCCGTAGAATCAGCTAACCCCCTTAGCTAGAGTAAGTCCGATCAATCAGTCCACGCAGACGCTAAATACAAATGATTTTTTTCTGACTTCGAGACTAAAATGGGCTCACTATCCATGCGGAATCTTAATCGCTCCTCAAGTCGAACGACTAACGTCCGAAAGCTGACCTGTTGCGTCATTTACTGCCAAGACTACACTGGAAGATGAGTTGGTGATAGTTCTCCTCATATCAACTCCTCTCTGAAATATTCTCATTGCAATCCCAAGGCTACATCTCCCCTGGAAATATCCGTTTCGTCTCTGCTGTTTTCCCAAACTCAAACAAATCAATTTTATGCAGTGAGTCGATCCTTGCCCACGGTAGACGCGGAGCCATTTTGCCTCCTCCGATGATAACTCGCCCTCGTCTAAGTCACATTTGCAGTTGAAAAAGTCTTCCATTTTGATCCAGCAAACTCTTCCACCGAAATTGCTTGTCATGTTTTGAAATCTAGCCTTACTAACGGCGTCTTGCCTTATTGCATCCACTCCAGAAACAGCCTTTACGCCACTGATCACCCGGTAATCCACTGCTGTCTATCAATTCCCTCTTTTGAAAAACCGGCATCAAGTTATATTTACCCCAATTTTCACATAAATGTCCTCAATAAGTTTAAATTTTTGCTACGTCTTACGTTCTTTCAGTCTGTGGATGCTCTTTATCGTATCTACAAGCAATTAGGCAGAAGCTATAAAGTTACTTTGCCTTTCCTCCGACAGACTGCGCGGATAAAATAAGTAGATCCTGATGTCATAGGCAGAATGGCATTACCGACAAAGACAACAGAGACTGGAATGGCCATTTCCGGCTTATCAGCCGTCGTCAGCCAGTCATACCCAACCCTGAAGTGTGGAACACCTGGAGCTCGATCCCGCGACCTGTTAGTTAGAAGTCCAACGCCCTTAACCACTGAGCCACGGGCCCGTAAGGCACAACGGGACGAGTGAGTTCCGTAAAATCGATCGGTGAGCGCCCCTCTACCATCTAATGTCATTTTATAGTCCACGGAAAACTTTCCTTCCGAAATGGCGGTTATAATTGGTCGGCTGGGGAATCCACTTGTACTTGGCGGCCCAGTATTTGGGGATTTTTTAGTTGCATAGCAACTTTTTCTCGGTTTCGCCCTTGATTGGCCTCCCCCAGGGAGATGGAAAAGCAAAAGAATCCTTCTGGTCTTCAAGTTAAGTTGTTGTTCCAAGGTTACTAGTTATCACGACAACATTACCGACCAAGACAAGTGAGACCGAGATGTCAATGCCTGTTAGCCGTAATCAACCAGCCATACTCAACCCCGAGGTATGCGACCCCCGAGGCTCGAACTCGCAACCTGTTGGTTAGAAGTCCAACGCCCTAACCGCTGAGCCACAGGCTCGTTGTTCTGTCGGTTGCAATCGAGTCTATTAGCATTCCAGTCTCTCCCCCCCCCTATTTGTTGATAATGCTACTCTGCCTATACTACGCGCCGCTCTATGACTGCTGGTGAGGTTCAAGAAAGATACCTGAGGCACAATGGAACGCTTAGGACACGTACCACGCTAGGTGCCCGCTCTTCTCTACCCTATTTAACATCATTTTCATGAAATACGTCTGCAGACGTGTCACTTTTTCAGTACGGTTTTTGTCAGAAAGGTATTGGAAGACTTGTCATTTGTCTTTATTTAATCTCTTCGTTCTGATTCATAGGGAGTACCTGTAACTGGCTGGTATGTATTTGACCTTAGCCAAGTGTTAGTAGAAGGCAACACAGACGTACTGTGGCAAAGCTGAAAGCTTAACGTCTTGACTCTATTTCCTGCTAGGTTGTTTTCCAGTGCTTGAGTAGCAGAGGTTTGCCTATTAACATGGCGACTTTTAACGGTGATTTCACCCAGTTGTTTTCGGGAAATGGGTTAAACGTAACATGCAAGAACGAGAACTGGTCATTATACTGTCGTTACTTCTCATAACTCTTAGTACCTAGCACTTTTTCTTGGACTCCAGGTACTCATTGTAAACGCTGACCCATTACGTTATGGATTTCTGTAACTCGAACCTTCAGTCTAATTGGTTGGTATAAGTCTCGCGTATTACGGCAAAGCCTTAACATTTCCCACAAAGGGTGGCTTTGAATGACATGCATATTGGGTCAGAGCTGAACCGCTTTTCCAGGATTGCAATGGAAATCTTTAATAGCCTAACGTTTAAGTTCAACAAAATAAACTAACTATAGAAACGCGAGATCTAGTAAAACCGGTAAAAGTTCATATTTTTACAAATAATTCGTAACAGCCCGTCTTCCACTAGTGCACCATTAAATATTATTGTAGACTCGGCTTCCATACCTACTGAATAGAACGCTTGTCGTAAATATAAGTAAAATATTTTGTGACCTATTGATAAGATACACTAGGTGTCTAGAGGAGTCTGTTTCACACCTACCGCCTCCTTTCCTCAAGACGCTTCATGATAACGCGGAGTGCCGTGGGATCTAAAACACGCCGAAACAATGGAGCTACCAGCAGATCTATCGACCATGCCAGACAGACACCGATCGGGTAGCTCAATCTCTGTCAAAATCCACTTAGAATTTCATGCTAACTTAGACACGGTCATCAATATCTCAGGACTTCAGGCGTCGAGGTCTAGGAAGACGGATTAAATGAGTGCGTGTGGAGAATCTGCGGAGTCTCCAAAGCAGCCGCGGTGCCGTCGCTCTAGACCAGTACATATCCTCGTTTTCCAGTAGCATGCGTTAATCTGACCGAGTTGATTTGGCGTGAGCCCTTAACCGATTTCATGCATACATGCAATTCGCACTACACGAAAATGCTGACATATCAGACGTCCGTCAGTTCACAAAACCTCGCCTGTGGTCGACCTACAGGCTTGAAAAAGCCGCTGGTGTATAACAGAAGGAAGAGAGTGAGACGGACACTGGCTTAACCCTCCTTTTAATAATTCGGTACAAGCCTCACTATAATAAGACGAAAAGGTTTGTGTTTAGCACTGCATTCAAAGTGTAGTGGCTTGCAAGTTTTCCAGCCGACAGAATATATAGATTCGCCTTCGGAATGACCATCAAATGTTTCATGTTCTAATTACTTCCATCAATCGGGTCACGAGATAAAATCGTTCAGCTAAGTCTTGTGGCTTAGTCTAGAACCCTCCCAGGCGATTATACAGCGACCGGAAGTGTGTGCAGAAATGGAGTACTGACAAAGACAAGAGAGACCGGAATGGCCATTTCTGGCTTGGTAGTCATCGTCAGCCAGCTTTGTCAAACCCAGCTTTTCGGGATCTGAAATTCGAACCCCCTTCTTTAGCCATAGAACGTTATACTGCTCAACGTTCTACTGTTTAACCGCGGGTCCGTTGTTTCAAGACACAGATGAACGCGCATGTCCCGCAAGCCGGTCGGAGAGCGGGCTTCAAAGATAGTTATTTCTCTCGATCATAGGAGACAGGACAGCAAGTCCGTGCTTTTATGACAGAGCGTTGGATTTAAATGATACTCGATAACTAACGGAAGAAAATCCAGGTCTTAGGCCCAGCAAACCTCTGGTTCAGTACGGCTGGCAGATGACAACTGAGGAGCCAACGGCGACCATCACAGACCCCCTTGCACTCCCCTTCTAAGTGGAACCTGCAAGGCACTTTCGGTTAACCGGCATCGGGAGCTTCCCCCGTTCTACGGGGCTCGCTAGTTTGGAGAAGGTGGTAGAAGGGCGTTTACCGACAGTGTTATTGAACCCATTCATCCTGTTGTGCCTCGGAGTTTTCTCTCGAGTCCAACCAACAGCTACACAACAGCGCGTACTACGCGACTATAAGGACTAGTTTGTGTGCTGCACGCGTGACAGGAGATTTCACTTTGTCGGGTACTACACCAGTCGTCGTCTTGGCCATGTCTGGCTATCAGATCACCACAGGCAACTTACCTTACCTTATAAAGTGCAGAATACCTGAACTCTGTGACGAGGGGTCTCATTCTTTATGCAAATAATTCCTAGTTTTAAGGTCAGTTTCATACTGATTCCCAGTCAATGCTCTGAGAAGAATTTTGACGCAAAAATAAGCAAGAGGCGAAAAAAACCCTACTTAAACAAATTCCGGCAGCGTTTACTTTAACCTTAACAACAGTTATATTTGGAACAATTTCTCTGTCTGCATAGAGCCCCATTCGTAGCCTCGAATGCCGCCCAGTTTTTTACAATCAACTCAAATGAATTACACATCTGCCAAGAAATGCCTAACATTTCATTTACTTTATCTTTTATATAGCGGTAGGTTTTCGCGACTGCCGTTACAGGTCACATCCATGTGTATTTATTCATCTACCTGCTCCGGTAGAGCGGGATATATTGGCCGCAAGAGGAGTCTGGAAAAGAGAATACGCGAACACATGCTTGCCTGGCTAGGTAAAGGTGAGAATCGATCGATTTCGAGTTCAATTCTCGCATACCTAATCGTTACGAGCCACCAAGCCGACGCTAAAGAAACCTTTAAAGTTATCTACCGGGCACCGGCACACTACTCTAAAGGCCTGCGCAAACGGGTGCCAGCCACAGCAGAAACAGTGGGCATTCGACTAGCGAACCCAGCACTCTGTTGTCAGAATACGCTGACACAAGCACTCTGTCCGCCCTGACCGACTTAAGCGGTGATCGCACGCCGTCTCGACGCCCTGAGAGCAGTCCCACGCACTTACACCGCTTACAATCTAGCCAGAACCCCTCTCCTTCCCCCCTCCCACCCCAACTACATCGTCCTCAACACGCTGACCCCGTCATGCGGGCGGCGTACGCAAAGAATTCGGTTAACGCTGCCCCTGAGAGGCATTTATATCCTGTCTACAATTACAATGGTCATTACCCATGTAAACGTGTCGGCCTGATGATGACTTACCGAAAACACATGGTCGCCAACCGACTCTTCAAAATATAATAAGTTAAGCCACGGGTAGTAAATCGTAGCTCGCGTAAGCATGTTTTGCGGTTTTATTTGGTGATGCGTTGTAGTCTGAGCTGCGACGCATGCTCCTCCTTTCGCTCAAAGAACCAGTATATTTAGCGCATTAACATTTAGACGTTTCTCTAGAAGGCCAAAATATGTTATGTGTAAATCACATATATACAAACATAGAAATAGTTTGGATTATTTAAGCTCTACAACGCCTTTCAGTAGGTATGCGTGTGACGTTACCATCTTCTCTATTTTAGAAATTCTATCTCTGAATTTTAGCGTCGAATAAAATGGACATACAATTAAAAATAATGGTTTTGGCTGCAAAACCTTTGCATCTTAGTTACTTTTCTTAAACATAATCAAGCAGTTGGGCACATTTCACGAAAATCAATCTGCACATCTGAAGAAGAAGAAGAAGAAGAAGAAGAAGAAGAAGAAAGTGATGATGATGACGATGACGACGACGATGATGATGACGATGGTGGGGAAGAAGTGCAGTGGTTCTATAGATGAAATTATCATATTCTTTGCAAATAAGTCAACAGCCTGCCGTGCAGCGTTGCTCCAACAAAAGTTTTGCTATTTCGTCTGTTTAACCTCGAAACCAAATGCTCTTTTCATAAAATATACCTCAAAACCTAACGCAAAAATTCCGTTACAGAAATAAACAGAAAACATCGTTGGACAGGGATCGTAGATGGATTAAGTACTTGACGCTCACTTCGCTCTCAGTTGTTCGCTCCGGTGGATTCTGATCATTAGCTCTGATATAAAAGTTGTGAACAGGTACCTTTAAAAAGCCCTACGTCGTCCGTTTGTAAGATATTTTTATTTAATACTTTTCATTCTTAACAAACACTGCACGGTCTAGTAAAGAACATATAAATGGACATAAGAGGCAGAGAAACAACATGCTAAACTTTCAGAACATTACATAGCGAGGAAAATATTCTTTGCCCAATCGCGAGAATATTGGAATCGGTGGTAGAGTTGTATTGAAAGCAGTCGATAATTTCTTATCCTTTTTATCGGAGTCAATAGCCGACCGAAAATGAATTCGGCCATAAGCAGGCGGACAGTAGTTACCCTCAGCCGTTATGACCTTCGCGTATGCCAGAGGTCTCGGTCGATCAAATGTGAAGCTGAAAGTTGTGTGTTGACACATTTAATCGCAAGAGTTAATAAAATCTAGACGCATATTAAACTCAGCGTATAATACGTGGGAGTAAAAGGTAAATATGCAAGGGGATTTTGAAGTTCGACAGGTTTGGTCATATTTTTAATATTAAGGTAAGAACAATAGCACTTTTTGCTTCTACACTCCTCTATTCTCCAGATTAAAGAAAGATATCCTAAATATCTACAAATGAATCTAGCTTATTTTCATACCTTTTGTCATTTAAGCGATGAATCCAGCTCTGTAACCGGTCCTTCTCAGACGCCTTTTTTGTTGAATAAAAGTCCGTCATTACGCGGAGAGTTGGTGATAATGTTTTCTGTCGCTGGCTGGCAACATCGGCTGCTGAACGAAATGGGCCCTGGAGTTTCCTCTGTAGTTTTACCTCTTGTGATTCGCAGACTTGAGATTTCGTTTGGTGACTTCCCGTCTGAGACGTCCTCAGAATGTTAACTGATGGCAACAGAACGCTGTCAACCTCTTCATATCTGTGAACAAATTACTTTATTTGGGTCATCACTAAGCAACAAATAGCAATACAAATTGTTGGAGGGACCATTACGTCCAGTAAACTCGAAATACTCAGAACTTCAAGCCCAATTTATAAGATCATTTTCATCAAACTTGAGTCGTCAACGAAATTAAAGATCTTTAGTGCTGTTGACTACGTTTTGATTATAATGAGATAGGACAAAACAGAAGTAACGGTGATTTATTTCGTGGGAGACGAGAAGCGCAAAATTACCCTTTGACTTTGTATGCGCCGGGCTGAGAGTACGTCGATATTAGATGATGGTTTTTAATTGCCCAATTTTCTACAAGCCGCTTTTTCTGCTCAAACTCTGCTAGACTTGTGGTCGACTCCTTGGATTGACATTCCGCTTTCGTTATTTCACTGAAATGTTTTCACTCATACTGCAACTTCGTTTACTTCAGTCTCAAGGATGCCTTGAGCACTCCATCCAAATATTGCTTTCGTTTGTAGAAATCGCCATTATGTTTGCGAGAAAAATAGCCGCGCCAGTGTTTTTGAATCTGACTTTCACAGTAAAACAGTAAATTACCACAGTCGCTGCTTTGTTGTAAAAAACGTGATTCATCTCACGAACAGACTCCAAAAGTTTCTGCCGGTAAATTTCCGTTGCCTTGAATCCCCTCCATGCACTCTGTATCTTCACTACGTTCTGGTTTAGTTTTCTAAAAATAATATTTCGCAAGCCCTACTTCAAGGTTTTTCTAACAACATAACCCCTGTAAGCGGCCTGCAGCCTAACTGCAGCAAAGAAATCTATAGGTCGATTTTTTTCATCGTTCTCGGAGCTTTCTGTTTGAAAATAAGATTCAAACAACTCATCAAACCTTTGCAGCTAAAAAAGAAGTCGTCCACGCTTTGAGACAAAATGTTTAAGCCCGACATCTGGAAAAGGATAAGGACGGGAAAATATGCGTCAGATACGAACTACAATATAATTGGTCGTCTACTGCCTGCGATCTGGCATTCAAGTTGGCGGTGTTTGCTAATAGATCAAACAAATGTTTTAACGGTCTCAAAGCCCACTAAGTTGACATTTTAATAAAGTCTCTTGATTTCCCAACTATTTCTTGGCTTTCAACGGCTTTCGGTAGAAAGAATTCCACTTCAAATGCCGTATCTACTTTAGCGGTCAACAGGTGGCAGAAAATTTAAGACATGGACATGTAAATAAGTAAATAAGTAAACGGAGGGAAGCGACGATGTCCAAACAAGCAAATGAATGGTGCGAAATAAACGCAATGGGCATACCTATATTCACACATAATTCGCTAAGACCAAAACTTAACACGACCGTAGGAATTAGTTGGATGCGACCAATGGCAACATTACTGTCTTCCTGGATCTGAAAAACCATTGTTAACAGAACCGTGCAGAGGGTAGGTGGAACCTATATGAAGACGTGCTTTCTAAAGAGAGTTCTGGGTTCATAGAGATCCATACACATGATTTGCAGATTGACAGGGAGGAGCAAAAGTGTGAAGGGGACAGAGACGTATGTTGTTCTGGTATTCCAGCTGCAGTGCCTGCGAGTTGTACAGTACCCCTGACGTGTGCAAAGGCCAAACGCCCATAAATAAATAAATAAATTTTTTTACTTAATGCCAGTTTACAGGCATTGTCAAGGGAAGCGATTAAACATAAATCCGACCGGCAGTGAAAAAAACTCCTGAGCTTAAGGGATAAAAATATAGTTGATGGTGGATTTTATGGTTTGGAGGGCTCAGGAGAAAAAACTGCCGGCGGTGGTAGAATATCGACCGTCAAGAAGGGGGGAGGTTGCACGGTATCGGAGATTATCGGACGTCAAATTCCTTTCATGAAGCTGGGGATAGCCAAAGTAGAGGCGTTGATGAACAGCTGGTGAGACCGGCCATAGTGGTCAGAGACCAGAAACGCCATCGTTACGGTAAAGTCGATCAGTGGATTCAGCACCGAAAATTTGTGGAGGCTTTTCTGAATGCAAAAATCGAGTAATAGTTCTCTTAAATAAAGGATAATTTGGCCGAGTTTTCACACTCCTGGGTAGTTTATTCCAAATAGCAATTGCATTTACAGAAAAGAACCGACGATATTTAACAGTACGTGCCAGAGGCAGAAATAAAAAGACGTCACGGTGACTGTTACGTTGGGGGTGAACATGATGTCTTACAGTAATGTGTGGGTTAAAGTTGCGATTATATAAAAGATTAAATAGCAATAATAGTCCCTTTTGTAATCTACGGAACCATAAAGGATCGAGGCCTGTAAGCCGGCAACGTTCTTGGTAAGACAAATGTCGGTGTTCCGGGGTTAAAATTGTCTTGGTAAAAAAGTGGTGAACGGATTCTATTTTCTTCCGCTCAGTAGCACGCATGAGGCTAAATGAAAATGAACAGTATTCCAGGCCAGGTCTAACGTACATGTTGAAAAGGCGCATTCTAATGTCCCTAGTTTTAAAATTTCGGAGGATAAACCCGGTCGTTCTATGTGCTTTGGAGACTATCAAGGCACAGTGCTCCGAGAGATTAAGACTCTTGGAGTATGATACGCCCAAATCCTTTATAACCCCTGGCACATTTATTGCGTGACCTTCAATACTTAGTTGAGGTTGGCGGTCGTCGCCAACCACCATGACTGAGCACTAATGCCAAGAAAGAGAAAGGCGCCATGTGCGGCACCACCGGGCGAAAGCCTGTAGATCGCTCTATAGGAGCTCAAGCACGATGTCATGATCTGCCGGCTTATATTGATATGCAACTTTTAGCTCATGGGCATACATGAAGGGCTTGCCGTTCTGAAATACACCGGGTACATCGTTAACAAAAAGGCAAAATAAAAGCGGGCGGATTACACTACCATGAATTACTCCACTCCTCACACGTGTGGGGTTGGAGATGGTATTGGAAATCTTAACTCGTTGTGTGCGAGTGCCCAAATAAGAGGATATAAAATTCAAAAGTTTGCCACCTATTCCGAAAGAGGACAATATCAAGAGAAGAAGAGCATGGTCAACACGGTCAAAAGCCTTAGTGAAATCGAAATATACTGTGTAAAGAGCAAAACCATGGTCCCTAGATTGGAGTACATAGTCAGAGAAAGAGAGTTGACGGGTGTCACAAGACCGAGCTTTGAGGAATCCACGCTGAGCAACACTCAGTAAGTTATTCGCTGTTAAGTGACACATCATCTTATCTTTGATCAATGTCTCTAAGATCTTCGAAACTGCAGGGGCGGTGTTTATTAGCCGAAAGTCATCAAATGATGTAGATTTGCCGTGCTTAGGAATGGGCAAAATGTGTGATTCCTTCCACAAGGTAGGATAAGTTTCACTTTCAAGAGCGAGATTAAATATCTTGCATAGGAGGGATGGGAAAATCGTGTTTGCATCGGCTTTTAAAATGCTTACAGGGACACCATCAGGGCCTGGACTATAAGATTGACGAAAACGCCGAATCGCAACAGTCACATCCCACAGAGTGAAACTTATAGTTTCTAGAACTGCCCCGGTTAATGACTGGATGGTGAGAGTAAACGATCAAAATTGTTGTTGGCGTTGGGAGGGCGATAGACGCAGCCAACGAGTAATGAGACCCTATTTTTTAGTGCAATCTGGAGCCAGCAGCTGCCTTCTACTGCTGAAAAGTGCGGAAGGTCCAACGGCAAAAATGTAAGTGTTTTCTTAACGTAGACGCAGCTGCCCCCACCACGGCTATCTAGGCGATCATTTCGGATGCAATTGTAGCCTAGAAGAGAGAGTTCAGAGTCAGCTACTGAGGCTGATGCCCACGTCCCAGTTACTAAAACAATATCAGGACAATGGACGAACACCTGAGTATGAAGCAAAGGCATCTTATTAGGCAAGGATCTGGCATTTAAAACAAAAAGTTTGAAGGGAAAGGCTGTTAGTTTTTGAGGGAGGTGGGCTACATCGTCCAGTTCTGGGCTGCCCACGGAGCAAACGGTCCGGATGCAACCATCCGGTTCTGGAAAAAATTTTGTGACATCAAAAAATTCTGACGTGGATAAAAAGGGGTAGGACTTGGGGGAGGGAATGACGGGCAGGTAAACTGGTAACTATTGTTAGCCAACTTATTTTCAGCTGGAAATCCGCGGGGCAGATACTGCAGCGTATTCCCGCCGGAACGAAACTGAGGATCGGATGAATTAACTGATTCAGTATGGACATTATCATGAGAAATAAATTGGTAAAACGACCGTGGAGGAAACAAGTTAGGGGGTGCGAAACGCATTGCTTCCATTGGAATAAGAGGTCTATTAAACGGTGGGAAAATCGGCATATTCGGCCTAACGGCCTTGATATGAGGGCTGGGGGGCAGTTGCGAACCCGCTACGTTTTGAGTCGGGGTATTTGAGGCACTGTTCGCCGATTGTGGAGGAAAAGATTTTATAATGGTGCTGGATTTATTGGGTGTCCGAGTGGCTGAGACAACAATTGGATTTGCCTTTGACTTAGACACATGCTTAGGCTTACTAGGGGTTGCTGAGGGAGTCGATAGAGGCGTGTTTATACCAGGCGTGGTGGTGTGTTTAAAGAGGTCAGCATTAAAAGTAGTCGAACACCCTACGGAATTGACTATGCCGTGACTTGCAGATGCCGCAGGTGGTGTTGTAGAGGACATATTCAGACTGACAGTAGGTGTCATTATCTTGGTGTTGGTTTTTGCCGATTTTAGTTTATTCAGTCTTCGCTGCCGGGGTGTGAGGTCTGGCGAAACGGAGCAGCGCCAGTTACGGCAGAAGTTTCTAGTCATCTCCCTACTTGACAAGATAAAATCGACTTCTATCATGGAGAAAAGGGTAACTAGTATCGGCGCATTACGACTAAGCGAGCGAAGTCGCTTAGCTTGTGCGACACTGAAACTCAAGCCACAACTTTGTAGGAACAAATGCGCTCCCTCCATAGCAGAGAAGTGGCTCAGAATGTTTCGCAGTACGAAATTATGCTTGCGTTTAATTCGTTTCTCAGTTTCCGAACTTATTACCCCAATAAGTTTAAAAGCTTGTTCAAGCACTTTTTCAGAAGTGCTGTTTATGTCTCCATAAATCAGCTGATCGATTATTTCGCCAGCTGATGGCCTGCTACGACTAGCAGAGGCGTATTTTTGGACGACTGAAGGGTCGAGAGGTTCTACATGTACTAAAGTGATTTGTGAGTTAATGTGATCTGCAGACGGCGAAGAACATACGCTGGCACCTGCTATGTCTTCAGTCACGATTTTAGCACCCAGAGACGGTGGGGAGGCCGCAAGCTTTCGCCTTTTAGCACGTGCTCTGTGGGGCATTACAGACAAAAAAAGTTTTTCGTTACAGGAGAAGGATCAAAACGTTTCCAACGTACGGAAGAGCGCACTGAATAGCAAGTATTACTGTTATTTAACTACAAAAACTAGAGAGCGGTAGTAGGGAAAGGATTCACTACAATGGATTTTTTACAAAATACGACTATTTTGCCAGACTGTCAAACAAAACTGGGAAAAAATTTTACCTTAATTTGAAAGGCAACTTTTAAAAGGGATTCCAAATGTAATCCAATGGTCAACGTGAAACGACAGTGGAAGTCCACAGCAGTGTTCTGTGACGTAGTCTGGTTTTGAAGACAATTTAATCTCGACTTAAAAACCGATTATCCCGTATTATTATAGTAAACCCTGAAAGGACTTTTCAAATTGCAGACTTTTATGCGCATCTCCCCACTTTGACGTGCCCATTAGTTTTCAGAACTCAGTGTTTTGGTTGCACCTCAAATTTTACTGCTACAATGTCTAGTCCGCACGCATCAGTTTGCTACTTATTAAGTCACAAGTTTATATAACTTGACAAGATAGAAACCGTTTTATCAAAATGCCATGACTCCAGTCCCCATCTGCAGCATATATTTTCTAGATTCTCTTTTTTATGAAATAAAGTCACAAAAATGTCAGTGCTTTCAACCTTTCCACTATTCTTACGAAAAAAGAGCTTGCCCGACGGTGCTATTGATGTTCGCGCGGCCTTTGGCACACCTCTTGACACCTCTTGGTCTGGGAATTATACCATGATTTATATCTGTATTGTATTAGAGTGCATATTTACTCGAAGGTTTGCGGTCAGGGCACGTTATGAGCCTAGTTATGTACAGCAGTTTCGCCCACATACGCTCAGACAAAAATTTTGAATATTTAGGAAGTAAACGCTTTAAGGTGCAAAGTACCTTAAAAACAAATGCTGTTTTTCACCGGGACTCAGCGTAGAAAGATTGTGAATCGTAGAGTTTTTGACAAAATTGGATGTGAGCCGTCACGTTGCCAGAAAAGATTGGTCAAACTTTCTTCCAAGGAATTCCGAAGAGCGCTTACGGAAATACAAGGAGCAACGCAAGATTTGCAAAAATGAGGCCTCGCTGCTGCGGAGGAAGCTAAAAATGAACACGATGCAAAATTCGTTAGAACACCCCATAATTCTGCATATCATTGTATGAAGTAATAACAAAATTCAGGAATTGATCCATGTCCTTAGGTCTGCAAACGGAAAACCGGAGACTGACGACCGAGTTAAAACATCTCTCCTTTCTAATTTCTTCCAGTCCGCCCCCACTCAAGAAACTAAATCCTTATTTGCCGCTGCACTCGTTCGCCAACCAACGCCTTCTCCCACTCCCCTCTCCATTTTCCTTCCCTTCCCCCCTTCTCACCCTCCTCATTCGAGGAAACACACTTCTCATCGACCATAATTAGGGCCAAACTACACCGACTGAAACCTGCCAAATCACCTGGCCCACATGGAATTCCCGCACTAACACTTCACTAACTTGTTAATGCACTGTGCGACATGCTGTCTACAATATTTCAAAGGTAATTTGAAGAAGGCGAGCTTCCGGAAGAGCATAAGGGCGCATTTATCATTCCACGCCATAACGGAGGTCCACGGCCTGACTGCGAAAATTGTTCGCCTGTAAGAATAACTTGCATCTCGTGTAAAATTATGAAACGCATTATCTAAAGGCCTTTGGTGGAGTACCTGGAAAAAAGTTAAATATTCTGCAATGTTCAATAAGGCTTTCACTCATGACGCTCTTGCCTTACGAGTGTTCTTTACTTGCAGGAGAAATGGACAATGGCCATAGATAAGGCTTATCCAGTATATGTCATATTTTTGACACGGAAATTTGGGTATATAGACGACCACGAATCCAGTGTCGTCAGAACACTGCAAGAAGATGGTCCCGAAGGAAACTAGTACCTTATACTGGATCAGACGTGCGTTTAAAATGTTTCCTCCCGAACTCTTCGAAAGACATTTGGCGTTTTCGTAAGACCCCATCTAGAGTACGGAGTGCCAGCAGCATCAAAATGGATAAGGAAGGATACTGACTTACTCGAACAGGTGTATCGTAGACTACTGAAGAGGTTCGACGGTCTAAAGCATTTGTCTTATCAGAGGAGGCCGAATGTGCTTGGCTTATTCCTCCCCCCCCCCCCCATCTCGTAGACAACTAAACTGCAGTCTACTACGGAAATTCCGGATTATCCAGTGCCGTGGTTAATCACTGAGACCGGAGGACTTCTTTGAATCTGACACTACAATTCAACTAGGCGGCCATCTCTGTAAAGTAAAAGGCGAACTCTCGCGGCTCTATCGTAAGACGTTTTTCTTCGATTAACGAGTTGTCCACTATGAAGCTCGTAACCAAGTGGGATGGTGACGGCCGGCAAAATTTGCATGTTTGAAAAAACTTACTCGCGTAATTTTCGGCAAAACCGACTTTTACAGCATGACATCTCACAGCCAACATTGTACGACACTTTGTCATATTCAGTCTTTCCGTACTGACTGGCAGCGAACAAATGCGCTTATTATTAATTTTCTGTGAACCGCCACATTCTGAATGGTTTCAACTTTATTTTGAGTGTATATCGACGAAATCATTGTACATAAATAGTGTCATCAAGGACTCTGCCTCGAACCCTTCAAATGCATACATACATAAAAAGGTGTCGAGCATCACCATCTCACTTGGCAGCGAGTTCCATGGTCAGCTTGCCCCTTTGTTAAATGAAAACTTTCCGCGATCGAGTCGCGTACTTTCGTTTTTGATTTTGTAGGGGTGGCCTCGTAGTTGATTTATGAGGGCAAACTCAAAGAAGAATGTCCATGGAGGACTACGGCTTAATTGCCCACGCAATAGAGGGGATAAGCCAAGCACATCGAGCCTGTGCTAGTACGACAGATACATGCCTCATCAACCATCTCCTTTGGTTTGTGTTGCATCCGTTCGAGGTAATCAGTGTCCTTCTTCGTCCATTGCATTGCTGCTGACACTCCATGCTCCAAACGGGGTCTTACAAAGACAACGAAAATCCTTCCGAAGGGTTCAGTTCAGTGTATTTGAGGGAACTAGACTTGCACATTTGCACTCCCTGTTTGTCTCACAGTCGTAATGTACCAATGCTAGTTACCCTTTTCTCCTTGATAGAAGCCGATTTTCTCTTGTCGAGGAGGGAGATAACTAGAGAATTCTGCCGTAAGTGGCACTGCTCTGTTTCGCCTGACCTCCCATCATTGCAGCGAAGATTGTACAAGTTGTAATTGTCAAAAACCAACACCGAGATGATGATACCTATTGTCAGTTTGAATAAGTCTTCTACAACACCATTTGCGGCCTCTGCACGTCATGGCATAGTCAATTCCGTAGGGCATTCGACTGCTCTTGATGCCGAAATCTTTATACATACCAAAACGCCTGGTAAAAACACGCCTCTAGCGACTCCTCCAGCAACCCGTAGCAAGCCTAAGCATGTGCCTAAGTCAAAGGCGCATCCAATTGCCGTCTCAGCCACTCGGACACCGCGTAAATCTAGCTCCAGTCTAAGATCTTTTCCTCCAAAATCGGCTAACAGTGACTCACACAACCCGACTCAAAACGAAGCGTATATCCAACTGCCCCCCCAGCCCTCATATCGAGGTAGTTAGGCCGAATATGCCGATTTTCCCGCCTTTTAATAGAACTTATGTTCCAACGGATGCACTGCGTCCCCCACCCCCTAACACGTTTCCTCCGCGGCCGTTTTACCAATGTATTCCTCATGCTAATGTCCATACTGGATCAGTTAACCCATCCGTCTCTCAGTTTCGTTCCGGCGGGAATACGTTACAGTATCTGGCCCGTGGATTTCCAGCTGAAAATGAGTTAGCTATCAATGGTTACCAGTTTACCTGCCCGTCATGTCCTCCCCCAAATCCTACCCCTTTTTATCCACGTCAGAATCTTTTGATGCCAAAAAATTTTTGCAGAACCGGATGGGTACATCCGGACCGTTTGCTCCGTGGGCAGACCAGCACTGGACGATGTAGCCCACCTCCCTCAGAAACATACAGCCTTTCCCCTCAAACTTTTTGTTTTAAATGCCAGATCCTTGCTTAATAAGATGCCTTTGCTACAGACTTTGGTGTTCGTCCATTGTCCGGATATTGTTTTAGTAACTGAGACATGGGCATCAGCCTCCGTAGCTAAATCCGAAGTCTCGCTTCTAGGCTATAATTGCATTCGAAATGATCGCCAAGATAGCCGTGGTGGGGGCTGCTGCGTCTACGTTAAGCAAACACTTACAATTTGCCGCTTGACCTCCCGCACTTTTCCGCAGTAGAAGGCAGCTGGTGGCTCCAGGTTGCTCTAAAATATAACTTCTCCTTACTCGTTGGCTGCGTCTATCGCCCTCCTAACGCCAACGACAATTTTGATCGTTTACTCTCACAGGCATTTCATGCTGCGGCCGACTCAAGCTTTAAGTATCAATTGGTTGCGGGCGACTTTAACCTCCCTGAAGTCCGCTGGTCTCCGCCTTCAGGCCCCAGAAAGTTCGAAGATTTCTTGAGGCTGTGGATGTTGGAATGTGGACTCAGGTTGTCAATTTTCCCACCCGAGGATCAAGCATACTTGACCTAATTTTTTGTAGAGGCTGCATGCCATCGTCAGTGTCATCCCTAGGCCGACTCGGGGGCTCAGACCATGACATAGTTGTTTCAAAGTTGGAATTCGAGTCTGACTAAACGTTGTCCCCAAAATATAACTTTTTCCGCGATTTCCGATCAATTCGCTTAACCGAATTATTAACACACCTTAATTCCTACGACTGGACTGATTTCTTCCTTAGTTCGGATGTAACTGTTTGCACGGATAATCTGTACAAATTTTTGGATCCGCTTATTTCTCGTTTCGTCCCCCATAAGAAAATCATTGTGTCGGGGATGAGGTTTACCTACCCTTGCCCTTTCGTTGCAGATTGCGCATACTTTATCGTCGATT